GATGCATGCTTAAAGTATATAATGGAAACAAGGTTTATGGTTTCCATTCTAAAAATGTGCTGAAGACTGAATGGCGATGCAAAATGGGTATCACATACCAATACAGAAGGCAATTGAGATATTAATTAGCTATTATAGAAACTATGCTGGTCTTAAATCAATTTATAAACTTTTTTAATGAATACTACAAATTTTTATAACGAACCAAAAATGGGTTTGGATAGATAATATTCCACATGCTCTTAAATAATTCGATAAAGTTTGGTATGCATAAAAGATTAACAACATTTTACATTTTATTTGTGCCCAATTTTTGGGTTTCACTTGAGACCCGCTTTTTTATGTCTCACTTATGGCGATAGTTGATTTACTTAACACTTGCTAGTCAACAAATATGTTCACTTATGGCCCTGCCCCTCTACCAACTTCTTGGCGCGTGTTACTGGTTTTTGGCCAATATCAAGTGTGGCCCAAAATCGGTTGGCGTTTTGGAACCATCCATCTGAACGATCGGGCAGCAGCCAAATGCTGGCGGTTCAGTGTTAGCCACACATAACATGGCAACACTGTAACACACCCAATTTGGCTTTCGGGCCTTTGACGCTGTCTATTAGCCGGGTTATGAGCAAATTACGGGAGCGCCGCGGCCATAACCAATGCCATGCCCCACAGAAATCCGCGGCGGAAAAAAGCTAATTGCACCACAAACACACGTTCCGATTGGTGGTGCCGCACTCGGTGGTTTGGTGGTTCGGTGGAGCGATGGAGCGGCCTACGCAGCCTGCGGCCGTTGTTTAATATGCAACAAATCAACGCGCCAATTGTGGCGTAAAATATTTACATTGCCCCCCGCCGCGGGGCCTTTGGACCCCAGCCCCACGCCCCTGAGGGACCAGCTGCTGTCTGCCTTTAAAGCCATGAGCTTCTCCATGAAGCTTCCTACCTCCATTTATCTGCTGCCTAATGTGTGCCCATCATCCTGTTTTGAATATTAAACATTTATATTTTTGTTTTTATAACTCATGGGACACATTATCCGGAACCAAGTATCTTTTCCTGTTTTAACCATTTAGTTTTGTTGTCCTAAATATGAATAAACATGACTAGAAATAGGTCATAAATGATTTCTCTATAGATAGATAATGTACAAACAAACAAAAAATTAATTGCGTTTCTAATTGATTTTACCATTAATATTTCGTTCCTTTAAAATCTGAATGTTTTTCTATTTTATTCTATTTAACTAGAAAGCTTAATAAATTGCATATTTCAAAAGAATATTGTATAGTAAGCTTATAGAGCAACTAAATAACAAAACTACATTATTTCGACCATTTAAAATATGATTTTTGTTCTATTTTATTATACTTCGCTAGAAAACTTGTTAAAATTTTATATTTTAAAAGAATATTATATAGTGAAGTTATAGAGTAATTAAAAAAATGTTCATGTTTTTTATAAAACATGCTTGTAAAACATTTGAAATTGTATTTATGTTTAACATATAAAAGAACAAGAAAAATTGTGATAGCTGTTATAAATGCAACAGCATTTAATTTGATCTCTCCCATTTATATTAGAACATAAACTCTTTGTCTCCCCTGCAAATTTCCGCTTTTCAGCGGGTAATCACCTACTCTGCCACACTAATTCCGCTCCCCTGACTACTTGATTTTGTTTATTGCGTTTAATTTGCGCATTGTTTGTGTGGCTTTCGGGGATAATTGCAGGCATCAATTGCAGCAGCAGTAGCACCCACTCGGACCCACAGAGGGGCAATCAAATTGCCAGTGGACAGTGGCAATCAGATTGCCACAGACACCCACACGAACCACTGAGCCAGCGAACCACCGAACCACTGTGCCAAAATGTGCAACAGCCACAAACTGTTCCGTTTGGCTTTCATTAAGTTTTCAGCCGCTTTTTTGTTTTGGCAGCTCCATAATCAACGTCCATTTCGGAGTAACCCCCTGACCCCCAGTATTATTTTGCGATGTTGTGTTTGCATTTCTCGCCCCGTGTGCCGTTCGTGTGTCATTAATCTCCAGCATAGAACCAATCAAACACGCGAAGCTCAGAAATGATTCCCCACTGTTATTGATGATGTGTTGATTAGGTTCTGACAAACCAATCGCGGTCATGTGAACAACAATCAAAGTACAAAGTTTCACTTTGAACTCGAGCCGCGTTTTGGGCGGGGGACCGCGAACCCCCGCCGTGGGGGTGGAACTTTTGGGCCTGGACGCCACTGCCACTGCAAGCCGTGTGTGCGGTCACAGGCTAAATTTGGGTCATGTTTGCCCGCTATGTTGCCAAACCCGAAGAATGAAAAGAAATAATGGTAAAACCCTAAGCCGAAATCATGCAAACCAGCGTGTGTCTAATGAATTGCCACCCGTGTGTGGCTGCAGCCGTTTTACCTCTTTTTTATTTTACCCATTTGACCAGCGGAAAAGAGCTGGTCAAGATTTGTGGTCGCTGCAGTTACGCCAAAGAGCTGCCACCGCTGCAAGAATAACGCCGACTGTCTGTCAATTGTTCGATATTTATGGAACATAAATCCAACCTGAAGGGTCATTCACTAATTGGGCTTTTTCGTTTATGGGGAGAGGTTTTTATGGTCGGCTGGCTTAGAAATGAGTCAGTTGGGGTCGTATTTCAAAGGTACCTCCACCTCAGTCTTCTCTTGGAGCCATTAGCAAATTGCCTATGTCCGAGCTGTTTTTATGTTTTCCTTGATTCTAAACCTCCATTGCAGACGAAAACGTTTCATTCAAATGGATTTTGGTTTATATTTCCTTAATTATTCTCTAATATTGCGACAATTACCATAAAACATCCCACAACATTTAAATTATATTTGCATATAAATAATTATTATACCTTTATGTTTATTCTTGTGTTATTTAAAGTTGCCTGATCACATAACCTTCCAATTCAGAGTGAACTTCCGTAACAAACCTCGTTTCGGCCAATGCCCCACCATCAGTTAAGTCACACAGCTATAACCAAAATAACGAAGAAAGATCTTTGCATTTATAATTTCATGCCAGAATTCCTCGATAAATTGATATATATGGTGGTTCACCATGGCCAGGCCACGCCCCCTTTCGGCCCACCGAGAGCCGGGCTAATGGCCTGGCCAATTGTCGCAAATTAGTGGAGGCCAGCCCAACACGCACACACGGCCAACACGGCTAACACACACACGGGCAGCACACATGCAAACAGAACAGGTGAAGTGGAGTCAAGACAAGACAACTGGAGTCAAGACAAACACCTAAAGCCAATCCACATGAGCACCCAGGCTAACGGTACTCCGGCAAACAGAAGATGGCCAAGAAGACGGCCGAGAAGCCGGGGAGAAAGAACAGCTATAAAGAAGTTTACTGCTACAATTGGCAAATTGAAAATTACTCGCTGGTGGCGGCGGCGTCGGAGTTTCGAGCCGAGGTTGAAGCTGAAGTTGAAGCTGAAGCCCGGGAAAAAGCCAAAGCTGATGCGCAAGTTGAAGTTGACCGGGCCAAGGCGGAAGCTTCAGACCGAAAGACCCTGAGCGGGCCCAAAGCTAAGGCTCCTCTAACTGCACCTCATCCCCTGCGATGCGTTCGTCTGGCCAGATAAGCTGACATCCACAACGTGCCGCAGACGATGATGCATTTGCCAAGGTACTCGCAAGTGGTCGCTGCCCCAGCCGCTGGAGTCGCCGCACCAGACAGAGACGTTTCAATTTCAAACGAGAAGAGCTGTATTAACCGACTTAAGAACTTTGAGATACCCTACGACAAGCTATTAGCAACCTTCTCTAATCCCTCTCAAGTAGTTTTATAGAAAAGGTATTGGCCAGCCTTTTACTTTTGTAGTTTTCGTTCGACTTTCAATTCTAACTAAAACACATTTAAATCAAAAAAACAATTTGAAGTTAAGCTAAAGTAAGGAGTTTTGCGCTAACATTATAATTAATTAAGCTTTTCGTTATAAAACGCTATCAATATAACTTTAAAAAAATTCGGGTTGAAGATATATATATTCAATATCTATAGGTGAAATGAAAGTTTTAACAAATGTAGAATAAAATCGCAGCTAAATAGCGATTATAACTAATTTATTTATTGGAACTTGGATCAAGACATATTATCTGTATTTTTTGTTTAGCAAATACTTATAATGTTCTTTAAAAATGTAATATTTATGTTCGTATTCATGTCCTTACTTTTTCTTCTTGCTGCCATCATCTGTTAGCTATTAGCTATACCCTTCTCCGGCATAACTAAAAGGTATTTCTAAAAAGCAACAAAACGGTTTTGGCCGGGCCAATCTGGCAGGCAGACATTTTAATGAAGCCGCCGTCAGGCAGCATTTGAGGCAGCCACTCTTGGCCGTCTGGCTAGTAACGGTGCCAAGTCCACGGGTCCATGTATCCATAAGTCCACGCACCGGCGTCTGAGGCCGAAACGAATGACTTAAGCGACGAACCTGACGAGCTTAGCCAGTGCGTAAGATTACGTAAGTATTAGACTTTGCCCGATATACACACGTGGCGGTCACCCTAAGAACCCCAAAAATAGGGCCGGAAATGTCACTTTCAACTTTCGCTACCAGTTTTCCCCGCCGTTACTTCAAACTTGACCCAATTCTGTGGGGAAACACCCACACGGCGTTTCAAGAGACTTGTGCTCTATAATTAAAAAAGCAAGCAAACGAAACGAAATGAAATGTTTACTTCAAAGTCCACTTGATTCGGGATCCACGCACTTGATTGGCAGTGCCACACTGAAAGAGAGAACTGGGCCCAGTCTGTTTAGGCGTTAATTGCGGGTTCTGGCAAATTACAGACTTGGCCAAGAGCCCAGCAACGTGAAATGCACTTTCTCTTCGCGCCAGCGAAAAGTGAGTGAGTTAAAATGGATTGTTTTGGACTGGATTGGATTGGACTGGATGGGGACTTGAGATGGATGTGCGAGGGCGTAATGCCAAAATCTATGGCAGCTGCTGCTTACCTTTTGTTTAGTCGTCTAATTGCTCCCGAAGATCGCCGATCACATTACCGCTGAAAATAGAAAGAGCAGGGGGAAACACATGAGTAAGCAAAAGAGAAATGCAAATTAGTTTATGAAAATACTCGAGGAGACAATGAACCCTCCCCACTCGATTCCACTTATGGACCCGACTCTTCAATAAAATCTCGAAACTACCTTTGCCGTCAGCCACAAATTGACATTGTTTCTGTATTTATCTTAAAAACACATTCATGAGGCGGCCGCAACACGTGTTGCCCCGTTGTTCTGTAAGTGACTTTGATTTCGATTTGATTTATTGCCTGCAATTGTCGCGCACAACGGAGAAGTGAAAACAGTCCGCTCGGCTTTGTTCACTCTTGCTTTCGAAACTTTCAATTCGGTGACTTAATTTCTTTGCAGCCCCGGCGGGCTAATGAAATCGAACTGCCGCTTAACAATGGCAATAGCACTTTTATTGTCGCAGCTTTGCCAAAGAAATTATCAAGTGCAGTTCGGCTCTGGCACTTTTACTTTCATTGTCGTGGAAGTGCTAACCAACGAACAAACGGGCCCAAAACAATTTTCACTCGACCGAGTAATGCCCATTTTCCTCTTAGCATCGGCTAATGAGCCGAAAACGCTTTTCGAGCCCATTTCAAAGGGTCGCCAGTCAGTCACAGAGCAAATTACCAAACAATTTCAATGTCTTTGAACGCGATGTGAAGGTGATATTTGTGGGAAAATGTTTCGCCGCAGAAATGAAATGAATCGCTCACAAAGTGTGAACAAAATTGTTTATGTAAGTTAATGTATAACCAAAAGACAAAGGCGAACTGATTGCCAAATTGAAATAAATGCTTTGGCATCAGCTTTAGATTTGAAAAACGAAATTAATACAGTTCGATTCGTAAAGCTTTAGTAGATATTCTTTAGTTAATTTTCGACTTGGCCAAATATGTTAATTTATTCCCCAATTTCTAAACATAAAAACTAAATGATCATAAAATAATGTCATGAAAATATATGCTATTGTGTCATGTCAACAAAAATTGTCTTAACAAAGCCTTTATACGTCTTTGTTGTCGCGGAGTTCTTAGCATTATTACGGTTTATGGGACTATTATTACCAACTTGCTGGTAACTATTTCAGCACCCTAATTTATATAATAAATTCTTGCAGCGTTTTGTAACCATCTAATTGAAGTGAGAACTTTGTTATAAAACTCACTGATGTATGACATATTAGGCATAATAAGATTACTATATGCAAGAATTCCCACAACTTCTGAGCAGTCTTACAATGAGTGTTCCCAGCCGAGAAGACAAGGGCACAAACTGCAGTTGGCCAGTTTTGGTCCACTCTAGCGTGACGGCGACGGGGGCGGCGGCGGTGTGGGCGTGGCGGTAATGGCAACTGCAACGAGTTTGCATGCAAAGCATGAAATTATCTGCAGTTGATCTCGAGCAGGGGGCAGCTTGGACCTGGACATGTTTGCTACTCGAATTAAATAAAACACAAAAAACAGAGCCAACATTGGGAGAGGCAAGCAAACGTATCAATTAGCAGGAGTCAAATACCCGAGTCCCAAACGAAAAACAAACAGAGCTGGCTAAAAAAATAGGTAGTTTTAGACAAAGACATCACATTGATGTTTTGATTATTTTGTTATAATATTTTCAAAGACGTAAATATCTTAACCATTCGACTTGAGATCAGTGATCAAATGTAAGCCGTGCTATCCAAAGCAAGAATCACAATATCCGTTCACATATCAGGGAGACACCACTAATTTATCAAAAGCGCTATTCAATTCCTTTCAATTCAAATATATAACCAGCGTTATTATCCAAACGACTTATCTTTAATTCAAATAAAACTACCAATATTTTCAAATAAAACTTCAAAACAGTGGGGCTTTTTAAGAATGCGGAGTTTTACAAAACATTAAAATAACGAGAGTCGAAAAAGCAGTCACATATCCAAAAAAATATTTATTTTAATACCCAATAACTTGGTACACCGATCGCGAGACCTTCAGCACAATGAAAGTGTTCAAGAAACGGCAGACGAAGGTCAAGTCCTTCTTCCGCAGCGAGGACATGGAGCTGTGCCAGCTGCTCCTGCACACGGACAATGCCTTCGATTGCCTCATAGAGCTGGGTCACCAGGGAGCGGTGCAGTTCAACAACGTCTACGACGAGGATCGCCTGCTGAACAACCTCTACTCGAAGAAGGTGTCGCAGTGCTACGAGTATCTGCGTCTGGTGGATAACCTGCACAATATGATCGTGCAGCTGCATGTGAACGAAGTCTTCTACCCGGACGTGGATCGGGAGAACCGGCTGAGGGAGAAGGACCTGGCCAAGTACGGGGACAGGCTGAAGCGCATCCACGTGGAGGCCAGTGCCGTGACGGAGCACTACTACCGACTGGACCACCGGCGGTACCGCATGATGGAGCACAGCTTCGCCATCACCCGGGCCAACAAGTACATGACCGCCGACATGGGCAGCGAGCTGCTCTACTCGGAGAGCACGGTCATGGGCCTGGTGCAGGACGCCACCACCGCCACCCATCACTCGCAGCTAAACTACATGATCGGCAGCATCCGGGCGGACAAGTTCTACAGCTTCGAGCTGCTGCTCTACCGCCTGTGCTCCTTCAACCTGATCATTCGGTTTGCCGAGATGCCCACCCCGGTCTACGAGTTTCATCATGGCCAGCGGCCGGAGAAGATGCGGAAGTTCGCCATCCTCATGATGACCAGTTCCACGATGCTCTGGCCCAAGGTACTGAAGATCTGCGGCCACTATCATGTGAACATATACGACTGCCCAAGATCGGCCAGCGAGCGGGAGGAGAAGGTCAGGGAGCTGAGCCAGGAGATACTGAACGTGGAGAAGGTCCTCAAGGAGGCCGAGCTGATGCGCCGCCAGATCCTGGAGGTTGCTGGCCAGGATCTGTTCATTGTGCGTGTCAATCTTCGCAAGGCTCTGAAGGTGTATGACCTGATGAATCGCCTGCGGTTGGTGGGCGGATTTGACGTGCCGCGCTATCTACTGGCCGAGGTGTATGTGCCTTCTTCGGATGTCCAGGAAGTTAGACTGATTCTACGAAATGCCAGCAGACTAAGTGGGGGCGCGGATAGGGAGGAAACCACGGACGATGAACTGGACAACTTGGGGGAAGAGGAGGAAGAGGAGACGCAGGATCCCAAGGACAAGAAGGAGAAGAAGCAGATGCAATGGGAAGAGACGGAGGAATCGGAGTTCCAGCCAGATTTTCAGAGCGACATGACTTCTCGGGCCATTCTGCTGAAGAAAACCCGAATGGTCAATCATATGCCCCCAACTTACTTCCGGCTGAACAGGTTCACCAGGGGATTCCAGAACCTTATAGACGCCTATGGAATGGCCGACTACAAGGAGCTGAACCCCGCGCCGTACACCATCATCACCTTCCCCTTCCTCTTCGCCGTCATGTTTGGAGACGTGGGTCATGGCATACTGCTGATTTTGTTTTCCCTCATCATGATTTGGAAGCACAGGGCGATCGAAAAGTACCAGATTGCCTCGACCTCGGAGAACGAGATCCTGAACATCCTGTTCGCGGGTCGCTACATAATCCTGCTGATGGGCATATTTTCCGTCTACATGGGCATCATCTACGGCATAATCATGGCCAAGGGGTTCAATCTTTTCGGTTCGAGCTGGAGTTGTCGTTACAATGCAACCACTTTGTCGGACCCCCTGATCCAACTGACCCTGGACTCCTCGGATCCGAACTTTTACTCGGGCCATCCCTATCCCATAGGGATGGATCCCGTGTGGGCTGTTGTCGGCCAGGACTCGATTACCACGACCAACTCCCTGAAGATGAAGATGGCCATTGTGCTGGGCATTTCGCAGATGATGTTTGGACTGGGCCTGGCCGCCGCCAACTGTGTGCTGCTGAGGAAGAAGGCGGACCTCGTCCTGGTGGTGATTCCGCAGGCGATCTTCATGACCTGCCTCTTCTGCTATCTCGTCTTCCTGATCCTCTACAAGTGGCTCGTGTTCGGAGGCCACAAGCAGACGCCCTACAACTCGGCCTGTGCCCCCAACGTCCTGATCACCTTCATCAACATGATGCTGATGAAGAGAGAAGATCCTCCCGAAAACTGCCTGGCAGACATGTATCCCTACGAGCGGCTGCTGGAGTACGCCCTGGTAGCGATAGCCCTGTGTATGATCCCCATTTTGCTGGCCGGCAAGCCGTTGTATCTCCTCCGAAGGCGGAGAAAGCAGGAGAAGGAGCGGGAGTCACGGGATCTGAAGCCGATGCGCCGACAGACGATCAGGGAAATGCGGTCCACGATGTGGTACTCCACGGACGACGTCAGCGAGACCAGCAAGCAGAGGAGCGTGGACAACGAGGAGGAGTTCGAGATGTCGGAGATTTGGATTCACTCCGGCATCCACACCATCGAAACGGTCCTGGGATCGGTGTCGCACACAGCCTCGTATCTGCGACTGTGGGCTCTGTCCTTGGCCCACGACCAGCTGTCGGATGTCCTGTGGCACATGGTCCTCAACAAGGGGTTCTCCAGCGACCAGCCACTGTACTACAGTGTGCCCGTGCTCATGGCCGCCTTCTACGCCTGGGCCATCCTCACGGTGGCCATTCTGGTGATGATGGAGGGCCTGAGCGCCTTCCTGCACACCCTGCGCCTCCACTGGGTGGAGTTCCAGTCTAAGTTCTTCGGCGGCGCGGGCGAGTCCTTCAAGGCGTTCAGTTTTCCGCCCTCCAACCAGAGGAGTTAGGATTTTCCCCTTTTTTTTAGTTTATGAATAAAAATTTGTGGTTTGTGCATTTGCTGAAGTTATTGAAGTTTACTTTAAAATATATATTTTATAAAATCATTTGGCATATTACCAAATATGTGTTGTTCAAGGGTTTCTTTTATAATGGGTTGTATATGGAATTATAATTTATTTTTGGATTTAATGAATACTTTAGATTAGAAATCAATGGAGCCCTTTAAGCAGAGTTGGGTTTTCCCTGGTTTCT